AAGCGGCTGTGTTCTTGGCAGTGCATTTACTTGCTATTTTACAAACAGTCTGCTGAAGTGTAAACTGTCGATGTGTGTTTGCATATTTTAGCCTGACCTTAAGTGTCTTTCAGGCCATCGGGGAGGATTATGTGAGGGACCTCGATGAGCTGCAGAAGCTGAATGACCTTGTTAATGATGGTACCTTCATCCGCGATGTCTCTAAAGTGAAACAGGTAACGTGGAAGGTGTCACTGCAAAGTACCTGAGTAGATTTATTCAATTACTGTGCTTTTAAGAGTAAAATTTTAAAAAGTGGGCATTTATACTTCAGCTTCATTGGGAGTGGCTTCCAGATGTAGTGTCTTACATGATCCCCGATTTGAAACTGGGAGGACACGAGTTTGTGAAGTCCCAGCGATGGTATGAAGCCTGGATAAATGGCAAGGGCATCAGGAAATAAGGGAGCAGTCAAAAACACTCTAATGCTCAAACACTTGAAAGATGATATTGAGCTTCATTCATCTGGCAGACATAATTGATTCATTTTACTTTACAGAAATAAAAGAATAGTTGTGGAATATTTAAAAATTTCTGTCTGTCCCTTGCAGTAAAGCAGGAGTTGTGCTGTAAAATCTTTTTTGCTCAGTGATTTCACAACCATCTGCCACTGGACTGGTTCTGGTTTACACACTGTTGCATCACTATTGTTTGTACTGAAATCATATCTGTTAATACCAGTCGTAGCATTGTTCTGCAGTCTTTTAGTAAATACTCCTTGCACCACTATTCAGACAGAAAATGAGGTAATGGCACTGGATTCAAGAACGCCTCAGAACTGCATATAGCATTTATTGGTTTCCTCTGATACTTTTTTTTTTTTCTTTAAAATAAGTTTCACTAGCTGAGATCACATCCTCCTTTTAGATTGGACAATGGCAGATGGGCCATCGTAAATTGATGATGCAGTTTGGGGAAGGCCTCAGAGCAGACTGGCAGAAGCTCCCAGGGTAGGCAGATACCCATGTGAGCCATAGATAGACATAGGACCGGAAAGGGAGGGTATCAGGTGTGGTCCCGCTCCTGAAATGCAGATAAATGATCTCCACTTACATGAAATGATTCTAAATATTAGCCCTTACACTTATGTAGCTTATGATTGCATGGTAGTGTTTGTTCTGCTGCACCATGAAACTAAAAATTTGATCTTCGCTGGAAAATTACATATCATTTTTCAATGCCTGTGCACATCATTGCAGGCTCAAACGATCTGATTGTGTTGTGCATGATTGCAGTTTGTGGTTTTCAAACCTGGTACGTGTCCAGGCGGCACTCGTCAGTTATTTAGCAATTTCACCTCAGCATCTTCCTGCCAAGTCACATACTTGGTATGTATTTTTCTTTTCCTTTTGTCACAGGACAACAAGGTGAAATTTGCCCAGTACCTGGAGAAGGAGTACCCAGTGAAAATCAACCCAGCCTCCATGTTTGACGTCCACGTGAAGAGGATCCACGAATACAAGCGCCAGCTCCTTAACTGCCTGCACATCATCACTATGTACAACCGTACGTGCAGCACGTGCAGTTTGATTGCTCAGTGCCAAAAGCTTTAATAATGGCTGATTTTCTGAGTGATAATTTACATGACACAATCTGACATGTCCCGATGTGGCAGACTACCCACCCAGCTGTGCATGTTAAAGCAAACATGAAGAATGTGGCTGTCTGACTCAGCTGTGGGAATTTTCCATGCAGCCCTGAGGTTGTAATAAACAGGACAGCAGCAGTTTCATCAACACTTTTATTCTGTGCAACATGATGCTGACTATACCTGCACTTAAAGTCCTTTCCTTTTTTGGAAATGTTCTGCACACACATGCCATATATGTCATGCAATGTGGCAATCCAGGAGCTTCACGCCAATGAGTTGCATAAGATTACATTTTGGCTTTATGTAGATGTGCTCAGCTCAGGAATTCTCAAGTTTTCTGCTGACCGTGTGTCGGTTTTTTGACAATGAAAAGCATCAGAGCTGAATTTTAATGAGGCACTTGTTGTTCCCTGCATAACTAATTCTTTCAATCTATATTTTTCATGTTTGTTCACCTGCAGTGGCTCACTGCTCCCCTCAGTTTGAGAACTGTATGTACAGCTGGAGCATGCAGCAGCCTAGCAGATCTGCACTGTTAGGCCGTTGTTTTGTTTTGTGTGTGGGTTTTTTAAGCTGTTTCTGATCTGTATGCTAAAAGAAATTGACTGGTAGCATTTTTTTTTCTCATCAAATTCTCAAAAGAAAGCAAAAAATATTTCCCAAATGCTTTTCTTTTCAAATTTCAGAAACAAATCAGCAGGAAAATGATGGATCTGTAAAACAAGAAGTAAAAATGCAAATCCCCAAAATTTGAAACACTGAAAATTACTTAAAATGACTGTATGAGTGCGTAAAATGCTGATTTTTGTGTGCTTTGCTCTATGCCTTAAATGTGTGAGCAGGTTTTTAATTCATTAATTTTGACTAAATCAGTAACTTTCTGAAAATGAATAGAGTCCAGATGGTTATTGTTTAAATCACTAATATAGAGTTTCTTTATTTTATTTTTTTATTTTGCTTCATAGGCATCAAAATGAACCCTACCGCACCTTTTGTACCACGAACTGTGATCATCGGTGGAAAGGTAGCAATTCAGCCAAATCAAACACTCTGGTGCGATGAACAGACAAAGAAGGGTAATGATTGTGATTGTGTGATGCTCTGCAGGCTGCACCAGGGTATCACATGGCAAAGATGATCATCAAGCTGATCACCTCCGTCGCTGATGTGGTGAACAATGACCCTGTGGTGGGCAACAAGCTGAAGGTCATCTTTCTTGAGAACTACAGAGTGTCTCTTGCAGAGAAAGGTACCATTCGCTTTAAAATGCAACTCAGATAAAGTGAGAAAGATGTTTTGCAAGTAATTAAATTTTCATGTGCTCTTCTTCAGTGATTCCTGCTACGGATTTGTCAGAGCAGATCTCCACTGCAGGCACAGAGGCTTCAGGAACAGGCAACATGAAGTTCATGCTGAATGGAGCCCTGACCATCGGCACCATGGATGGAGCCAACGTGGAGATGGCCGAGGAGGCCGGAGAGGAGAACCTTTTCATTTTTGGCATGAGGGTAGAGGATGTAGCTGAAATGGACAAAAAGGGGTAAGGAAGTCTCTCACAGACTTTGATCTGTAACTTAATGCTGCGAAAACCCAACTTTCTTACTTGTTCTTTGTTAGGTATGACGCCATGGCATACTACAAAAAGATTCCTGAGCTGAAGCAAGTGATGGATCAGATCACAAGTGGATTCTTTAGCCCCAAAAATCCAGAGCTGTTCAAAGACCTCACCGAGATGCTTTTCAAATATGACCGGTGAGTAATTTCAAGTTACATGATCAGCTGATCCTGTCTTTAGCAATTAAATGTTATAAAAATCTGACGGTTGTTGGGTTCGTTTGTCTGTTTGTTTTCAGTTTCAAAGTTTTCGCAGACTTTGAAGCCTACGTGAAATGCCAAGAAAAAGTCAGCAAGCTCTACAAGGTGACATTCGCTTTGCAACACCTTTGCAAAGTTTTCATTTGTCTGCTCCTTTTGTTTCTCATAAAAAAGCTGCTTTACATTTCCCCATTTAGCATCTGTACAGTATCAAATTCTTTAATGTAGCACATGCGGCTCTAATTACAGTTGTACTTCTCTACACTGTTATTTTGCACCATTTCTAACCATTTCCCACAGGAAGAAGTTCTCGCTGTTTACAAATACAAAAACTTTAGAACATCTTGCATGGACTTGGAGCACACCAGCTGACTTTTGCTGATTAAACCAAAGCATGAGTAGCTTTTAAACCCTTAATCACAGGGTTGCACAGGTATTAACAAATCTGTTCAGACAGATATGCAGTGTTTGGCATATAAAAGATGGGCACTTAGCGACAGACATTGTTTTGAAGAAACTGAGGGTTCTCACACTCATACAGTACCAGCTTATCAACCACAGGGTCGCCACGCCCAAAACCATATCCTGCTTTCTCAATTATCTTTAATTCTAAAGTGGGCCATCATTTACCAAATTAATATCATGCTGTATTAAATAACACCTGACACTAGCAACTGAGTCCAAAAACTCACTAAAATATGTTGACTGAGGTCAAAAAACAGTTGGACTTCTTTTGGAAAGTGAGAAAGTCCCCTGCTGGTTAATGAAAAATAATGGAGTTTTAAAGGACTTTACAGACGCATACACAAACCTGCAAAATTAACTGGCTAGTGTGACTCTCACCATGATGCATGCACTTGCACACCCATTCAAAAAAAATTAAGTATTTACTACCAACATACTTTTTTAGAAGACTAAATATAAAACCTAAAATGATAAATTATATTTTTATTTTTCTCTAAAAGAATCCAGTGGAGTGGACGAAGATGGTGATCAAGAACATCGCTGCAACGGGAAAGTTCTCCAGTGACAGAACCATCAAAGAGTACGCCACAGAGGTGTGGGGCGTGGAGCCGACCAACCTCAAAATCCCGCCACCAAGCGAGCCCAGGGAAGCCATCGAAGAAACTGTCAAAGCTCTTAAGAAACTGTGAGGCTGCCTTTTTGTTTACAGCATGTTAACCGTTCCTGTTTGGTTTAAGCCTTCAATTTGCATATCACTGAACTGTTTTGAGGACTACTTTGCTGTCAACGCACTGTTATACTTCTTTAGCACAATGCATGTAGTAGGCTTAAACTGCGAGTCACTGTGCTGAGCAAGCTTCAGTATTTCCAAATAACTTGCTCATATTTAACATTATGGGGGTGGGTGGAGGTTTCAGGAATCCAGTAGGATCACAGTCAGCTGACTGTTCTCACATTTGTTACATTTCTGTAGAAACTCAGAACAATTTCAAGGATTTAAAGGCATTTGTAACTTAGTTAAGTATGCAAACTTACATTTCTGATCAACATGTGTTCCTCTGTGTTGAAATAAAAACAGAGTGTAACGACATACAGTACTGTGCTTTTATTGACATCTTTGTAAGATATGGAAGCTTTTGTGCAAGAAGTTGGCCAGTGTGTTGGACTTTTTTCACAAAACCTACAAAGCAATGAGGACCACGAGGAACTGTGAGCCCGGAGGAGGGACCGCCACTCTAGTGTCTCAGGTTTTCTAGAAAGTTCCTGCAACCAAAACAGAAAAAGCTTTCATTTTAGGGGTTAAGGGGACCTAAAAATGAACATAATAGACCACCTTCAATGGAAAAGCAATTAATCAATTTTAGATATTGCCTTACCTAACCACACCTGATAAATTGGGATCCAAGTAGATGCTGCTGTGGGAGAATCCAAGACTTGCACTGTAGGAGATCATTTCGACGTGTGCATCGGTGTTTAATTTCCTCCGAGTCTGGAGTGATATCTCGTACAGCTGGAGACAACAAATACAGAGTATTCAGCAAAAAAGCAGCAAAGTCCACTAGAGGAAATTGTCCAAATGGAGAGGAAGAGTACCAGCTGTACCTCCAGGCCCATGTGATAAGGAACAACATTATCATCCTCTGAATGCAGAATAAGAAGTGGACTGATCAGGGACTTCAAGCTGCAAAGATGTTGGAGTAAAAACGTGAGAGAGATCTAATGTGGAAATGCAGAACACTTCTTTGCATTTCTTTCGGAGTAAAATATGCCACACTTACTTTTTATCATTAGCAAATACTATGTTGGTCATTTTCATTATGTTCCACAGCAAGCTCTCAAATCCTGGAAGGAACCTGTACATCTGGAAAAAAAGATGGAAAATATGCTGCAATATCCTTTCAAAAACACTGGCAGAACAGAAGGTTCTGTGAGAGACTCCAGTCTACTTTATAAATGTGTGGAGGTGGAGTAAATATTAGCAATTCATACACAAAATTACACTGTATTAGTTGAATTGTATTTATATAATCCCTCTTTGCAGCATCAGTCACGTCAAAGCACTTCATACTTTATGATAAAGATCCAACGTTAGAGAATCCCAGTGATCCACTGTAAGGAAATATTTGGCGATGCTGGTGAGGAAAACCTCTTTCATAAACAGGAAGAGAATGCCAACAAAGCTAGACTCAGTTTAGAGCAGCTAACTTTCACAATTGTTGTTGCGATTGAGGGGCTTTAACAATACAATTTTTCTTATATAACTGTTGCTTTATTGGTATAGATTAAACAGGGAATCAACTGGGCTTGAGAAAAACCAAAAGTTGTGGTGAATCTATAGTCTTGTCTTTTGTAACTCACTATTCTGGAGTGGTTCATTAAAAATAACCAGTGATTTATTTTTTTGTTTTTTGTTTTTTTAAATCACACAAACAGATGACGAAGTGATTAATCTCTTAGCAATCACATCATTAAGGAATGAAATTTTTTTTCTGAACAAGACAAAAGTGAACAGAGCTGTGTTTTGCTGAAAACATGAGCAAAACACAGGGCTGCAAGCTGCAGTTAAACAAATGTGCAATGACTGTCCACACCTTCGTGAACCGATGGTTGACTACGACTTCTCCGATGCTTGTGTATGGAGCTTCAAGGATCAAAGCATCAACAGCAGACTCTGATTAAATAGATTGAAGTGCAGTTGATTAAAACAGAAAATAAAATGAATGATTGGAGTTTAAAAACTACATTTATAGACTTGAATAATCTGTTTTCTTGCTAATGAAACATCATGCTGCATTGTTCAGTGATTAACTGCAAAATGCACATTAAGCCAAAGGGGTTTGTAACAGTGAGGCACTTTGAACCGAGGTAGTTCTACCCTATTTATAGATAATTGTTATTACTTCTACTGTAATCTATAAAACTTTCTCCTGTGGAAAAGATGTGTAACGGTGACTTCGTGAACAAATAAATGATTCGGGATAGGTTGAAAAATGGCAGTGACAGGCCGTGCATGCACACACAGCCGTAAGTAACCCTAAAAGTCATATTTCCCATGGTAGAGTGGACATTTAAAGTAAGCTTAAATATCTACCTTGCTCCTGTATTTTCACTGCTGCATTGGTTGCCACCCTACAAAAAAAAACAATTATGTTTTAAACTCCTTTCTTACTAAAGCTTTCATCTAGCTTTGCATCATGAGTGGTGGACATGGCTGACGTGACATGAGAAACTGACCCGGAGCCAAGCGAGTGTCCCCACAGACAGACGAGACTCCCCTTGCTGTGTTTCTTTACCCAGTGGTACAGGTAGAGGGCGTCATTGGTCAATCCAGCTTCACTGGGGTCCCCAGTAGAATCTCCAAAACCTTGTTAAAAGATATTGATTATGCAGTATACTCACTGACAGTGACAGACTTATGATGACTTTTTTAAACAGATTCTCCTTTGTTATATATTTTCTAAAGGTCAGACCATGCACTTCTTGTAAAAACTGCAAAAAACCCGCAACACATATCAGACTCTAAAGGCCTCAAGTTGGAAAGTTAAAGTTCATGACAGTACGATTAGAAAAAAAGTGAACAATTATGGCTTGTTTGAAAGGATTGTCAGGAGAAAGTCTCTTCTCTCCATAAATAAAACTTTGCAAAGTTGCATCAGAACAAATGACAAGGCTCATGGAACAATGTCCTTTGGACAGATGAGCCCAAAGAGATGTTTCGCCATAATGCACAGCATAGTGGTGGAGGGCTGAGGATTCGGGCCCATTTTGCAGCAAGTCAAGCATGAACTACTCTGCAAACCAAAGTATTCTACAGTCAGTCACAAGGCCATCTGTCTGTTTAATATGTCATGTGTTGTATTTAAATGATTTAAAGACCTGCTAAGGACCGGGTGAATTCTTTATTATGTCCAGATAGAGGAAAGAAATATATTTTATAAGTGTTTATTCTGAGCTTTTATATATAGCTCCAAACCTCCAGGACAACAAACAGAAGATCTGGTTTGTGTGTAGCAGAAAAATGATCCCTTAATGAGCAACAATCATCTTACCTCTGTAGTCTAAAGATAAGACATGGTACCCCGCAGCACTTAAGATCTACAAAAGAAAAACATCTGAATATCATCGTAACGCTTAGAGTCAAAAGCATTTTACCAGAATTTTAAAAAAATAAACATACTTCAGATTATGAATTTTACCTTCACCAGTTGTACTCTGTGATTTATTGCCCTGCAGAAGCAAAATAAGAGCAATGAATACAAGTAATCAAGTGGCTTTCAGTCTCATTTACTCTGACCCACAAACCCCTGTGCGCTTTGTTCCTGTGGATAAAACCAGGGGCCTGAGTAGTCCTGTAATACCCACTAGACTCCATTAGGATCAGTTCAAAGACTCTATCCTACTGCTCTTATCCCACCTGGTCCCTATGTTGCCGTGGAGATAGATAATAACAGGAGTGCCGTCTCCCAGAGTCTCCCGGTACCACTCAGGGCTTCTCCTGGCGGATTTCTCCCATTGGCTGGCAGGGAGCGTATGCCTATGAGACACAAAGCCGGAGAGGGACAAAAGGGAAAGAGTGAACAATACAAACAAATCCACTTACATTTCAAGATACGCAGGCAGCTTTTGAGTGGTTCTTGTCCAGCTAAATGATTACACCGTTGCTATATTCAGTCTGGAGCCAACTGTACTCAATATGCACGTGGTATTTTCGGGTGATTCACATAAATGGACACAACAGGATCCCAAAAATGACCTACCACACTCCGACTGAGATGCCCTCCTCTGTGTTGAGGTAGAAATTGCATGTGTGGTTTAGGACATCTTCAGGTCTGCTGAGATCCACAAAGAATGGAAACCTCACTACAGGAAACAAAAGCACACAAGGTCAGCATGTTTTGTATGTCGTGTTATGAATTATTAGATTATATCAGATTATGCTGCAGTGTACTGTATGCCATGAGATATCAAACTACATTAAACTGTAAAATATCAAATTGTACAGTACAGTGAACATCTGGGAACCAAGGAGACAGTTGCTGGATTTTTGGGAGAGGAAAGTTGCCCTGTCCTTGTCTGATATGGGATTTTAGCTGCACAGCAGTCTTATTTGTCTAGCACCTGTACTCTTCTACTATGAACCAGGCTGTTATGATAAGTAAAAACTCAGTGCTGTTGCTTTGTCAGTTCCACAGAATTTATAGATTGATAGATTTCTCCTATTATGCTTTCTCGCCATCATCCCTCTCTCTTCTTCCTATTTCTATCTTCTTCTACCTCAACGATGTCAAACAAAGTTTAACTACACACTTAATCGCTGGTATTAGGGGGGGGAAAGCGTGCAATTTAAAAAGCACACCTCAGTTTTTCGGCATAACAGAAAAATTGTGCTCTGATAAATGAAAGAAATCAGACTCTTTGGGCTTAAATTGTAAGAAATAAATGTGTAAAATTACAGAAAGATGGCATGTCATTGGCCAGGCTGTCCTGTAATACTAATTATTATTGTAAAGACAAACAAACTTTTGTTATCAAGCTACGTAAATCCCTTCAAATAGAAGTTGTTTGAATCCAATTTTAATAGCATCTTAAAGACAATTAAAAACTTTTGTTATTGTGGTGGTTGCAGTCAATTGCCACTAGCATTTGGTACGTTTTTTCCAGTGTGAGACAAATGATCATTATATCAAAATACTATTATTGTGATTTTGTTGTATAACAATTAACTCCTTTTGTGTTGTTCTAGGAACCCAGACTCCTAATAAATCTCAAGTGTTTACTCTGATATTTAAAACACCTTAAGTATCACACCAATCTCAGAGGACTCCTTGATTGAATTCTTTTTGACAGCAGAGTAACATATCAAATGAAATGGGTAAATCTTCTACTGATGATGCCTTACAAATCTAAATATTAATATAATGAACTTAACAGGATAATGACAATGATGTTCGGTAACATAATCTTGATCAACAGGTTGTTAACTTGTTAACAGTGTTTGTTTCAGCATTAGTATTTCCCATGAGAACATTTGTCATAAACAGTACACAACACTGCGTATGGCGATTTGGTCTCCTTAGTATTACGTGACTTAAATATATTACGTCATTTAAATGATAGATCTGCTCTATCCGACATGTAATAACTTGACTCTGAATAAACACCCAGGCCTCGAGACACATTACTTACACAAGTGAGCAAATATGACTTGGCCCAGTATCCAAGGGAACAGGTATAAAATGACAGGCACCGAGACATAGACAGTTATCAGAAATAAAATAGCTCTCTTCATTTCTGCCACGGGTGAAATTATTTCCACTCCAGAGCAACACAATCTGGCCCGCTGGCAAGATCAGGGTATGCGAATTTCCCTCTTTCCAGTGAACTGAATCCGGTAGGGATCTTGTCCTGACAGCAAGAGTGTTGTGAAATAAAGTGAAAAGAGGTCAATGTTCTTCTCAGACTAATCATCTCCTCTGCCGCTCTGCTATTGGTTAATATTTCATGCAGTAAGTCAGTCATGTAGAAATAAAGTCGATCAAAGTGCAGTGCTCTCCAAAGAAGGCAAAAACTCCCTGCCTGTGGACATCAGAAGAAGAAAACATGCATAAAGAATATTTAGGGACACAAACTCCCTTACCGCCGATGTAATCAACAAAACAGGAACAAACCCGGCTGATAAGTGGCCGCAAGGAATTGTGGGTATTATAAGTTCTTTGAAATCTACACGTTAGACGCATAAGTTATTACGTTTCCTTTCAGTGTAAACATATTAACACAACTATATATCATTAAAATTCTTAAAACAGAAGAAAAATTAAAGGCAAATTTAAAAATGCAAATGGCAGATGTTTAAATTATGTTTCTTTTCAATGTCAACACTAAGATTATTTTATTTCATTAAAATTTTTTATTGCTCAAAAATAATTTCATGAATTAAAAATGTAAAAGAATTCATGCAACAGGTGTTTAAGGGATGATGTTTTCTTTTAGTGTAAACATTAAGCATATTAAAACTACTATAAATTTAAAACAATTTCACATTTGTTTCGTTAACTACACCATTTAAGTATATGCATCTTTATTCCACAGTTAGCTGAATATTTAAAATTATTTTAAACCAAGATAAAGGCAATATTGTATTAGATAATGCAATAAATCCACTCCTCCACCTGGACTGAAAGAAAGCTGAGGGTAAAAGTAGATATAACTATGAAAATAATTTTGTTTTCAGGAGTTTAGCAACTGATGCTGATGCTTTCAGGGTTTATATGAGTTGAAATACTGGACATTGATTGGCTTTATATGTTAAGAACTAGAAAAACCCTCAAAACTGAATGTAAGAGCATTGTGATAGGTAATCATTCATCCCTTCATACTAACAACTAACAATCTGTATCTAAGAAAGCAGGAAGATAAGACAGTTAATGCAATTATTAGATCCCCTGGGGTTTAACTGATTTTTCTAGGAGGGGAAGCGTTTGTCTGGTCAGTGCTGGTTGAGCTGATATTCAGTGTCCCACACATTTTTAAATTGCTAGCAAATAAATTAAAAGCCAAGAAAGTATCAGAAAACTACTGTTTTCTTGTTTTTCCAATAAACTTAGTTTCACTCCTGGTCATCCATGAACCGATGCTATAAACAGTAGAAATCAGTACAGAGCAGTTGTAGTGAAACTGTTCACATTTATCCTGTGGATGTGGACTACAGCATTTCACTGACACACTTATATTCAGGAATGATTCGTGTTCTGGTTTTTGAAACTGCTCTTTGGCTTGTAGCTTATGGCTTATGCAGTACTGTGCAAATGTATTGAGAGACCCCTCATTTCTTTTTATTTTGCTAAGCAGTAGTGACTTATTTGCAAACATCCATGAAACCAGAGTATATAAAGCAAAAACACAGTTTGTACAATTCTAACAAGCTTAAGAGTCAATATTTGGTATGAGCACCTTTATTCTGCAACAGCCTTTCTAAGTTCTTTAAAGAGTCTTCAGGAATAGTTCTCCAGGCCTCTTGAAGGACATTCATTTGTTTTTCTTTGGAAGTTGTTTGGGTTTTGTTCCAATCTCTGTCAAGATGATCCCACACTGCTTCAGTAATATTGAGATGCAGGCTCCAGGGAGGCCATTCCATGACTGATAGTCTTCCATTGTATATTTTTATTTATAGGTAAGTTTTTACTCCACTGAAAGTGTGTTTGGGATCATTGTACAGTACAGTAGATGGATCAACTGAAGTCTGGCTGCATCTCTCAGGTTCTGTTTTAGGTCTTTGCCGGATTGATTCCTGTTTCTTACACACAGGAATAAAATACGTTGATTTGTTGCAGATAGGTTTTTTTTTTAAGGTCTGCCCGTTTTTTGTCCTCCACTTGTCCAGTTTCCACAAAACCTTTAAAGTCACACAGTACAGCACGCAACATGCAGCACGATGAGATATGGCAAGTTTTCAAGTTTGTAATTGACCTTACTGGTGCATAAATATTTTATTCCTATCAAACAGTGTAATCATTAGCATTTTTCATAGATTAAACCAAAGGAATTGTGAAAAACAAATGATGAGTTTTTGGACTTGCTGCTAGAAGTAGGGGAGACCGGGGATAGTTGTAACATTTTTGACATTTCTGTCTGTAAACTGGAGCTCTTTTAAGGTAGTGGATTCAAAATGTAATGCAAAGTATTTACATGTCTCGGCTATTAAATAGTGCAGCTATTTTCTCTGCAGCACAATTACCCATTGCATGGTATGGTCTCAAACACAAAGAGTGAAATGTTACAATTAACCCCATAGTCCGGGTTAGTTGTAACATATCCTGGGGTAAAATGTAACACAATGAAATAAGGGTACTAACAAAATATTAACATGTAATCTTTGTTTATTCAACACATGAATGCACTTAGAGCCATTTATGTAGCTGTGTGTGTGTGTGTGTGTGTGTGTGTGTGTGTGTGTGTGTGTGTGTGTGTGTGTGTGTGTGTGTGTGTGTGTGTGTGTGACAGAATGCAGAAATCTAGCTTTTGAACATATTCCAACCCCCCCAAAAAAGACAAATTATGGAATTTTCTGCAACTGAATATTTCATTAATTTTGGTTGGTCTTCCTTGCGTTTGGCCTCATTGGCTCAGTGGGCATTATAACCTACAACTCTTGCACCAATTTTGATAATAACAATGAAGCTGAAAAAATGTAGTTGTTCACCAGCATCGCAATTCCATTACTTTTTATCATGGCTTACCTTGGTGTGGTTTGCAAAGTGCTTCAGAAAGATGAGGAAATCTGTTTCTTGCATCCATCCTGATTTATTTCCACTACCAGTACTTCCTACTGGTCCATCTCTGACACAGAGGTCTGCATAATGTATGTGTGGGAACACAAACAGTGGAGGAATTGTGTTGCCAATGGCATTAACCGCATATACAAATGCGACCAGTGAACCTCTCTCTGCTGATGTCATTGCCCCAACTTGTTTAATATAAGTTAAAGTAATAGTGTGGTAAGTTGTAACATCTGCATTATTGTTACAACTGACCCAGACTCCTATAGCCATGAACTAGCTAACATTACAGCCAACGGCTAAAACATTAGCACTAAAGACTTACACAGAATATATCCCCATAGACATACAAATAACATAATTCAAGTTTGATGAGTTTAACTGCAAAGCAGATAATGCTATTAGAAATTGAAATAAAGTAGAAAAACTTACTTTTTGGCATACAAATGACTTTTTTTGGTGTTAAATTGTCTGTGTTTGACAAAATGTGCTGATTTTTCACATGTGATAGCAGAACTGAATTGGGCATGCACAGGATGAGTCACATCATTTGAAACTTAGCCCTGATTGGAGAAATTGGAAGTGTTACAACTGAAGCATGTTACAACTATCCCCGGTCTCCCCTACAACTGGTTCATTTCTTGAGCTAGATGCCCTTTGTGTGTTTGAATAATTCATAGGTAAGTGTTAAGAGGCATAATAAAAAACAAAATACACTCATCTGAAAATGTTCAGGTACAAGGACTGGACAAAAATAAGTGAAAAAGTAGCCAATGAAGGAAGAAACACAAATCCCTTCAGAGAGCAAAGTCTCACTCCTTGGAAGTTAAATATAAACAGGCCAAACACTCTGAGGTATTTTAAGTAAAGGGCAGATAATATTTGGGGTAGCTCAGGTGGCAGAGCAGGTCAGCCACTAAACAGAAGGTCGGTGGTTCGATCCCAGGCTGCCTCCTGGCTACCTGGCAAGATACTAACCCCATGTTTGCCTACTGGTGGTAGTCAGAGGTAGTCAGCCACAGCCTCGCCTCTGTCAGTGCGCCCCAGGGCAGCTGTGGCTGCTATCGTGTGTGTGTGTGTGAATGACTGAATGTAGTGTAAAGCGCTTTGGGGTCCTTAAGGAAAGAAAAGCGATATACAAATGCAGGCCATTTAGATTTGTATTGCTGAGTGTGCAGATTCAACAAAGCCAGTATAATGTCTTGTGCAACTTTAATCTAATAGAGGTTGTTTGATCCAAAGATGGTTGCATCCAGTTTTGAAAAGCCTCTGTGCTTGAATATTGCAATGCTAAAAGATAGCATTGCAACACACATTATTCAAAACAAGACACAGCTATCAGTTTAAAAGACTGTAGTGATTTCGGACGTTTTAGTTTGGTCCACTGGGGGCTGGCAGGACTGCGTTGCAGCTTCTTGGTCGGTCACCGCCCCTTCCTCTTACAACCGCTTTTCAAAACCCGCTACAAGCCGGAGGAGGATGATACAGCCGCGGACACAAAGCAGCCAGCAGCAAATCCCTGACAGCTACTTTCTCGGTAATGTTAGGGAACAAAATGCTGCTATCGACAAATTAGCTGCTCGTCAAACTTGCTGGAGCAGAAGGTTTACCTGCGCTGTAGCGGGAGAAATGTTGTAGTTCAAAGTTTTTTAGAGGTGTGTTTAATCAGCAAATTTGACTCGAGGAAGGAGCCAGCTGTCCGCAAAGTTTCGACACTTTGGTGAGTTTATTTTTTCTCAGCCATTTCTTTGTTTCTTTCTTTCTCTTCTCCAGCTCTGGGTACTTAGCTTCTTTCATCCTAAAAAAGTGTTCCCTCACGTTCCCAAATGAACTAGCGCGGTTAGCATAGCCCATCACTTTCCTTATGACTAGTGAAGCTAGCTAAACTGCATTACAGTTATTTTATTCTCACAAGTGACTTTAAATCTTTACTTGGATGAAGACAGGGAAAAGTCAGTGAAGCAAAACATACACGAGCAGCAGCTGACTGCTAACTTTTTTCCATTTTGATTTAAATGGCGTTAAGTAAGCGCGCTAATGGAAATAAAATGCAGTTTTGCAGTTTGTATCACCAACAATTGCCCTCACATTTCACCCAGAGTTGTTTAAATGTGACTGAGATGGGTTGTTTGCAGGCTTTCAAAGTTGTTCTTTTTCTAAACTTTCTCACATAGATCTACAGAAAATGGGAACATGGGAATTATCTTTATGTAGTTTCTTTGGACAGGTTTGTATAGAGAGAGAATATCAAGTCCTCAGAGAAAACAGATTAAAATGTAGTTGCTTCATCTCTAGTTCAATCATCAGGTTTTTAAGTTTTGTCTTTACTGGCTAAAATCTTTTACTGACACT